TCTGTCTGTCTGTCTGTCTGTCTGTCTGTCTGTCTGTCTGTCTGTCTATCTATCTATCTAGTTTGCTTTAAAGATATGCTAATGGCTTCCTTGGATGGGATCTCACATTGAGGACTAGAACTGCGGCCAAACAGATGCTCCCGGACAGGACAAGAACAGGCCCATGACGTATGTATGGAAAATTAGGCAGCTTTTACGTCATGGGCCTGTTCTTGTCCTGTTCAGGAGCATCTGTTTGGCCGCAGTTCTAGTTCTCAATCTCAGATTCCATCCAAGGAAGCCATTAGTACATATTTGAAGCAAACAAATGGAAGAACAAGCCAAACAATGGCAGGGAAGTGGAGGGGGAGAGCAGAGATACACTCATAATCTCTTGTCCCTCCTTTTCTGTCCGTCATTTGCACACACACACACAAAAAGCCTCTCTCCAAAACCAGAACATATTTCTGACAATGACAACGGAGGATTACTCAATCTGAGATGTTCTCCTGGCAGTGACGCAGCTGAAGAATTTCAGCCCGATAAATATTTTGATTTGGGATCACGAAGGCAAGAAGCTGAGATGTCCATAAATCAGTCTGCGGCAGGCCAAAACTAAAACTAATGGGACGGCTTGTTTGGAGGGCAGATTTAAAACAAACAAAAACAACGCCCACTTTCTAAAGATGCGTAAACTGAAGCCTAGTTGTCGAAAGGACAATAAATCCAAAGGCACCAGCCCCAAAGGAGCGGAGATGTCCGTATGTCCATAATCGATCTCGGCAGCCAAACTAAAACGAACGGATTTTTTTAAAAAAAAATTTTTTCCAAAGATGCGTAAACTGAAATTGCCGAAACGACGACAGATCCGTAAGTGACGCTCTTTCCAAGTCAAGGACCCCAGATTTAACGCGATCCCCGAGAGAGCAGCGAAAAAGAGGAGCAAAAAATATGGCAACGTGGATTTTATTCTATACTAGCTGGAAGCCGTGCTTCGCTATGAAACTACGTGGTCGGGATTAGTTTTTGGAGAGGGGAAAAAAAGGGGGGAAATTCTGCCTCTGCCTCCCAGCATCCATCGGTATTCATCTGGCTAGCGTCCTGTTAGTGTGTGTGTGAGAGTTGAGGGCTGTTTGGAAACTGAAAGAGTATTTGCTGTGCGAGCAAAGAGACAGCAGGAGCCTGGGCGTGGCTTAGCTCAACTGTTCTGTACTGAAAAGTTGATTGGTGCTGTGAAACTGAAACTCCTCTGCTTGTGTTTTGCATTTGGAAGAGATTTCTTTCCAGGTGGGGGAGGGGGAGTAGAACTCCCTAGCATCAGAGCGTATTATTATTATTATTATTAATAATAATAATAATAATAATAATAATAATAATAATAATAATAGTATAGGATATACTAATGCTCTGATGGTCATTTGGAAAAATCCTTTCTTAGTCAGCACCTGGAAACCAAGAGGAACATAAATGCCCAATTTCAAGTTTTTAGGCTTTACGGTGCTGGATATTTTGTGATGATGCGTGAGGGACATTTCGCTTTTATATATATATAATTATATATAGATTTAGTAGATCTTAACATTGGCAGTGTTAAGCTGGGTGGACTCCAACTCCCAGAATTCCCTGTGATACATTTGCATATGAAAGCTGGGGAATTCTGGGAGTTGAAGTCCACGTCTTAAAAGTTGTCAAGTTTGGAAAAGATTGCCTTAAGCTACAAGGAAAGTCACCACTGGCTAGTTTCAGGCCTTATGCAGGGAGTCCCCGACTTACGAGCACAATGGAGTCCCAGCTTTCTGTCGGTAAGTGAGACAGTTGAGTTTTTGTTGTCCCGTTTTACGAGCTTTCTTGCCACGCTTGTTTAAGTGAATCACTTGCAGTTGTGAGGTCAGTCACAGGGTTGTTTAAGTGAAATCTGGTTTCCCCGTTGACTTGGCTGGCCAGAAGGTCGCAAAAGGGGATCGCGTGACCCCCGGGGGCACTACGACCATCATAAATATGAGTCGGTCTGAAATTTGATCCCATGACCCTTGTGTGACAGTTGTGTGAAAAATGGTCATAAGTCACTTTTTTTTCCCCAGGGCCGTTGTAACTTCGAACTGTTGTAAATGTTTAACGGGCCACCAAACATGGTTTGCACCTGCCATGGTTTCCCGTGGCAGGGAAAGTGAACAAGGCACAACTCAGCACCACAGCTGGAGTGATAACTGCCTTCCTGCAAAATATAGAATGGAGATTTGGAGGGTTCACCTGGGTCGCCAAATACAGCCCTCGTGTGGCAGACGAGGAGCATCAGAACAACGAGGTTGAAAGCCACAGCATGGAAAGGACACCAGAAGCTGGAAAGAAATATAAACGATGGTTAAAATTAATGTGATAAGATTATGCGCCTATTTGCAAGATCATTGCCTGGTCACCCCCTGCTTTGAACAGATGTTAAATATTCAAAATAATCCTCCTATCTTTTATTATCTGATTGCAGTTTGGAGACCGGGGTACTTTTACCAACCCGGCTGATTTGAGCCAGTGAGTATGTGCAGAAGGCACCGTCTTTCTGGATCCCTGAGCTCCTGGAACATGTGCAGAGAGCATCTTCCTTCTAGGGCACTGGCCTCTTGAGCATGTGCTGGGGGCGTCTTCCTTCTGGATCACCAAGTTCCTGAGCATGTACAGACAGCATCTGCTCCTCCTCCTAGGCCACTGAGCTCCTGAACATGTGCAGAAGGCACCTTCTTGCTAGATCAGTGAGCTCCTGAGCATATGCATAAGGCATCTTCCTTCTGGATCCCTGAGCTCCTGAGCGTGTACAGAGCATGTCTTCCTTCCATAGCACTGAGCTCCTGAACATGTGCAGGGGGCACCTTCCTTCTGGATCACCAAGCACCTGAGTATGTGCAGACAGCATCTTTCTCCTCCTAGATCACTGAGCTCCTGAACATATACAGGTTCTTGCTAGGTCAGTGAGCTCCTGAGCATGTGCAGAAGGCTCCTTCCTTCTGGGTCCCCGAGCTCCTGAGCATGTGAAAAGGGCTCCCTTCCCCCTCCACCTAATCACCGCATTCCCCTCCCAGACGCAAAAAGAGACCTTGCCACCCCGGGAAAAGAAACTCCAACAATCCCAAGCCCGGCGCTCCTGAGCATGTGCAGAGGGCCGAGGTTGGGCCTACCTGTCCCGGAAGCCAGGCAGGAGCAGGATGTGCTCCAGAATGACGTAATCGGCGTAGCCCACGCTCAGGTAGGTGAGGAGGAGGCAGAGCCCCCCGCAGGGGTCCAGCCGGGCTCGGCCCTTCCCGCCGCACCGGCACGGGGCCCCGCTCGCCGCCGCCGCCGCCCCCATGGCAACCCCGGCCGCCGCTTCCGGTCCCGCCCTCTTCGCTTCGCCGCTCGGCCAATCGGCGCGCTGGCGCCTGGAAAGTGGGCGGGTGGAAGGAGGCTCGCGCGCAGCCGCCCGGCTCCCGTTGCCATGGAGACGAGGCCTGCCGCTTCTAACTCGCCCTTGCTCTCCTTCCAGACCAGCCTACCTGGCAGGGCTGTTGTGAGGGACACTAGGAAGGACACCCCCCCCTCCCCCAAGAAGCACCTTTTTTATGTTTGAAGGCTCAGTCATACACTAAATAAAGAACATTCCTAGATGGCAGGAGTGGTGCAACATCTGCAGGACTGCAGATGTTTCACGCCCCCCTTTCCATTGGATAGGAAACCGGAAAGATTCATTCATTCATTCATTCATTCCCTCTGTCATCTTGCCCCATGTTAAAGCAAATCCACACTGACAAAAGGATAGCAAAACAATTATTTAAAAAATAATAATAATTTAAAAACAAAAGAATCAATTCTGCAGCAAAATCTGCATTTTCAGTTTTTTTTAAAAAAAACCTGGAAATCTGCAGCTTCCTCTCTGACCTACATGCAAAACTGAGAATTTCCTCTCCATTTCTACTTCAAATAATGGGAAGTTTCCGATTTGATTTCTTTATGCAACTGACAAGGCAGCATTTTAAATCAAGGATGGAAATCTATTGCTTCCTCACACACACACACACACACAAACAAACTGCCCACAGATATAAAATTAGGAATTTCTCTTTCTGGTTTTTCTTTCTTTTTCTTTTTTAGGTATATTACCAGAAAGTTATTGTAAAGGGATTACATATTTATAATACATAGGTTGACAGCAGCAAGAATGGTATTTGCCCAATATTGGAAAAATGAGGATATCCCTACAGATGAGAGTATAATTAGAAAAATATTAGAATGTGCAGAGATGGATAGACTGATATTAATAATAAAAGATAAGGAAGAAACAGAATACTTTCTAACATGGATTTGCCTTATCAATGGTTAGATAAAAGAGGTAGAAATTAGACAATGAAAGATCACTGATATGTATAAGCAAAGAATGCAAGAATTGGATTATACGATATTATTACTACAAATGTTATCATTATGATTCTCAGTATTATTATTGTGTAAGTAAATTGATTCAGACAATAAACTGTTTATTAAGCACTTATGTACTTAAAAAAAAAAAGATATATGTGTGTGTGTGTGTGTGTATGTGTGTTTTCTGAGGTTTTCACGGGTATTTGTATGTGGATCTTTGGTTATTCGGGTTTTCTCCCGCGTAAAATTGGAAGTATTTTGGCGACGTTTCGATGTCATCTTCAGGCTTGTGTCTTCGGCTTTGTGCTTCTTGAAGTAAATTACTTACTCCAAGAAGCACAAAGCCGAAGACACAAGCCTGAAGATGACGGATGAGATTTCGTAATTTCTCTTCATTCCTACTCCACTGGGCAGGAAGCTTCCTATTTATTTTCATTATTTATCCAGTGTTATTATAGGGCTGCTCTTCTCACCCACAAAGGATGCAATAAACCTGTCAGTTTCTCCTTCCACCCATTTTCTGCAATAAGTACACTGGTTTGACAGGTTGAATTATTTTTTTCTTCAAAGAATAACCAGAAAGTCCAGTTGCCTCTTGGGAAAAAAAAAAATACCTTTGGGATATTCATGAGTGGCTCTGATGTCTTGAGCCTGACATGCCGGCTGGGGAATTCTGGGAGTTGAAGTCCACCTGTCTTAAAGTCCCCCAGTTGGGGAAAAAAAAAACTTTCTTAACCCACCCCTGGTTTAATTAATTCCCATTCCTCCATTGCCCCTTTTCCACGACCTCCACCCAAGGAGGGGATGTGTGTGACTCAGTTTCATTTGCCCCCTAGGAACACTCTCGTTTTTAACAGATTAACGGAGTAGTACCAATAGTAATAGGTGCCAAAATAACTGAAACACCAGTTGAACACCACAGGCATTGATAAATTTGCTGTCAGTCAATTGCAGAAGGCAGCTTTGCTTGGAACAGCTTCCATCCTGCGGCGATATCGGTAACAAACATCCAGATTTGCCTATCCCAGGTCCTTGGTACGGACTCGATAGGTAGACAAAAAAGCCAAATCCAGTCTGAACATCAGGCTGTGATAATAATAATACTAATAATACTAATAATACTAATAATACTAATAATACTA